TATTAAGAGCTATGGAGTCCAGGCCACATGCTAAAGGACATTCAGGAGTGAAACTGTTTTGGGTTGCTGTAGGGGGTAGGGATGTATGTTGCATGGGAACAGTCAGGGAGGGAGGTCCATTTTCAGCATCACCCCAGGGTCAGATGGCATGACACAGACACAGGGACCGAGAGAGAGAGAGAGAGAGAGAGAGAGAGAGAGAGAGAGAGAGAGAGACAGAGAAAGAGAGACAGAGAGAGAGAGAGAGAAAGGCAGTGAATGAGCCCCTCCTGTTATTGTCCTAAACCCACATTCACTGAGGGCAGCCTCTACTCCACTACTGCAGTAAAGGTTCTCCTGTGAAGCCAGATATGCAGCAGCCCTCCCTCCAGCACCTTGCTTTTCCAGGATCTGTTTCTTGCTAGGCATGCCATAGATTCCCAGAGCATTTTATAAATTACAAAAAGCTATGCAATGGCCAGGTATTACTATTACTGTGTATCCAACTGGTGATGTTATCCCTATAGACAAGATATGTTGGGGACACCCCGGGCCTCTTCCTCCCCACTCCTTCCCATTTTGAAGTATATATTTATGTTTATAGATTGTTACTATATCCAGAGCCCGGTCTTCTCCTATTTCTCCTACTTGTTCCTTGCCAACATCCCAAGTTTCATTAAGGCTCTCCTGGGAGACCCAAAAAGTGGTGGGAAGAAAATGCAATTCTGAAGTCCAAATGTGGGATGATGGAAAATCAGGAATCTGTTATAGAATTTTAATTTAAATACACCGTTGGCATTAAATGCACCAATGGCGAGGGGCTGAGTCATTGAGCACCAGAATTCATTTGATAATGATGGCTCCTAGTGGGTAATTACGTGGCTGTGGCCCCCATGTTTTTCTTGGAGTCTTTGTGATGCTCCCTCAATTTGCTCTTCCTGTACTCACTTCTTGTCTTTCATTCTTGTCATTGAATATTTTGGGTATATGGGACAAAAATAAGAATGTAAGCAGGCACCGACCAGCATGACAAAGATGAAATAGATGGAAGATGCTCACTGTTGGCAAGGATGTGGGACAACTGGAACTCACATGCACTGCTAGTGGGAGTATACACTGACAAAACCTTTTCGGAAAAATGGTTGCTAGTATCTACTAAAGCTGAAAGTAGCTATGCTATTGTTCAGCAAGTCCACTTGTAGGTGTGTACTTAACAGAACGCAGAAAACAGTCACCAAAGACATGTAGTAGAATGTTCAAACTCCTCAAAACTGGAATTACTCTAATGCCTATCAGCAATAGATTGGATAAATAAATTCTGACATGTTTGCAAAAATGGGGTGCTATATAGTATTGAGAGTGCATGATATAATTCTAAATTACATGCATCAATATAGATGAATCTTATTTATAAACGTAAATGTTGAGCAAAAGAAGCCAGATGCATGCACAAAAATACACACTCTATGACTGTAGTTTGTATAACAAACACCACTGATTTGTGCTATTAGAAGTCAGGATAGCAGGTTGAATGCGGTGGCTCACACCTGTAATCCCAACACTTTGGGAGGCTGAGTTGTGCAGATTGCTTGAGGCCAGGAGTTCGAGAGCAGCCTGGCCAACTTGACAAAACTTCATCTCTACTAAAAATATAAAAATTAGCTGGGTATGGTGGCAGATGCCTGTAATCCCAGCTACTTGGGAGGTTAAGGCACGTGAATCACTTGAACCTGGGAGGTGGAGTTTGCAGTGGGCAGAGATGGCACCCCTGCACTTCAGCCTGGGTGATAGAGCGAGGCAGCATCTCAAAACAAACAAACAAACAAACAGACAAAAGAAGTCAGGATAGTAATTAGTATTAGTGACCAGAAGAAAGCATTACTGGGGACTTCTTGGATGCTAGTCAGGTTCTGTTTCTTAGTCTGGGTGCTGGTTGTAGGATTGTGTTCAGTTTGTGAAAGTTCATTGGACTGTATGCTTAAGGGTATTTTCTGTATACTGTATTTTAATAAAAAGTTTTTTTTTTCAATTGGCAAGATTAAATAAATTATTTCTGCCATCTTTGCAGCCCTGGACACCATTAGTAATTTTTATGGAACAAAGCTAGCCTACAGAACCAGCCAGCTACAGACAATTCCTCTAGTCCTTAAGTTTATACATTTCATACAGAAAATAGCACTTTCCCATCATTATTTCCGAATGGGTTAATCAATATCTTCATCTAAAAGATGAAGCCAGAAATGTCAGCTACACAGAGCTGTTGCAAATATTAACTAGCATCTTGTATATAGATACAGTTCCTGGCACTGGCAGGTATTTGGTATGGTGGCAATGCTGAACCCCTGATTCCGCTTGGAATAGAAGTCAGGATAGCAGTGTTCTGTGCTAGACATTGCTCATAAGCTCATGATATACTTTATAAGTAATCTTGTTTTATCCCATATCAACCCTATGGGGTAAAAATTATTTCCATCATTACTCAGATAAGGTGACTGAGGTTCAGAGAGCCAGATGGGCAAGGTCACAGAGCTGGAGGAGGCCCACTGATATGTGAACACAGGACTCTTCCAAAGTTCATTCCACAGGAACACGCCGCCTCCCAATTAGGTAGAAAACTACCCGAGTTGTACTTTAATTTCTCTAAACATAGTGGTTTCCTTCTGAGGTAGAAATCATCTGCTCAGCTGGTTTTGGAGTACCATTTTCCTTGTTGAGTTGACTTAGTGGTAAAAGAAGTTTTGAATGAAGTGGGCAGAGAGATCCGGAGAATAGCAGAGAAGTCTCCAAGGACCTTGTGATTTTGGGCTGTCACTGTGGGAGTTGTTATGCTTTGCAGTAATTGCATATTGGATACATAATTCTAATTTTCATGGAGTGGGCTGCCCAGACCCTCCAACTTTTAGTGCTTGTTGACGTAGTTTTATATGTTTTATCAGTTTAACAACTAAAACACACTTTCCTCTTGGTCAAGAATTTCCCAGGAGTATGCTAGCAAAAGTGGGAGATGCAAATTTGCAAATATCCACTTTTGCTTCCACTGAAAGGAAAATAATAAAAAGTCCAGGTACTGGCCAAAAATAACTTTCACTAAAGCAGACCCAGAAGCCCAGCCCTGGTCCTTGCAACCAAGATATGATGTGGTCTGCCCTCTTTGCAAGTTGAGCTGTGCCAACATCTGTTGGCCTGTTGCCTGACAGCTACATAGAGAAAGACATGGGAAAGAGATGTGGCAGAAGAACCAATATATGTGGTGCCAAGCATCATTGTAGATATCTGCAAGTTGTATACCATGATTTTATTTAGAAAGAAAAATTGAGGTCACAGAGGGTAAGAAACTTGCTTAATGCCACAGAGATGTTAAATGGCAGAATCAAAGTGTGGGCCTAACGCAAGAATTGGCAAACTTTTTCTGTAAAGGGGCAGATAGTAAATATTTCAGCTTTGTGGGTCATATGGTCTTTGTTGCAATTACTAGTCTCTTCTGTTGTAGTGTGAAAGCAGCCACAGATAATATAGAGGCAAGCAGTTGTGGTTGTATTCTAATAAAAGTATTTATGAACACTGAAATTTCAAATTTCATGTAATTTTTGTGTCTTAAAATATTATACTTAAAATTATATTTAACTCTTTAAAAACGTAAAGATCATTTTTAGATTACAGGTATACAGAAACAGGTGGTAAGACATATTTCGCTCATAGGCCATAGTTTAGCTGACCCTTTGTTTTATCTGATTTGAAAGCTCACGCAAGCTGTTTTGACTTAGCAGGTTGTTTAATCTAAAGTTCTTTGGAATAAAAAACCTCTCTGCCAAGTAGGACTTGGCTTTATGCTTAACATGCTTTGACTGTTGAAAAGAGGCCTTTGGCACTCATTGAAGGGATGGTGAGTATATATTTGTGTGTGTTTGTGTGTGTGAGAGAGGGGATAGAGGGAGGGAGGAAAAGAAAGAGGGAGGGGAGAGAGAAAGAGAGAGAGAGAGAGAGAGAAAGGAGGGAGGCACAGAGAACAGACAACAAAAAGAATTAACTCAATTTTTTCTCTTATACCAACAAACAGACTTTGGTGATATTGACTTTTCTATTTCCAAAATCTAAGATGTCTTGCTGTTTTCTAAAATAAAAGTGAATTAATGTCAACATTAAAATTTTTTATCAAATTGGGAGAATTTTGTCATCTGCTTGACATTTGGTAAATGAAATTCAATGGTGCCTAATTAAATATTGTGAATGTTAACACTGAATCAGGAGTAGTCTCAGGGAGGTTTGCAAATGATATCGACTGAGGTTTGTAGATAGTATTGACCGAGGTCCTCCATGTTATCTCTGCTTCATTAGGTGATGGAGATGCCAATCCATGGAACCAGGTGGCAAAGCTATGTTGGTAGCTATACCAGAGGCTTCTTGGCAAAGATTCCTCCAGGGAAGGAAGGTACCATCAGAGAATCATGCATGAAGACAGGGAAGAAATGATTGTAATCATGAAGCATTAAACTGGAAGGAAGCCTTAGGCAAACCTAACTCATGAGAAAACGGACACCCAAATGTTACCAACTTAGTACCAAAACCAAGGCTGGTATTTGCATAAATATGCTTTTCTATCTAGTATCAAGTCCTTCTTAATATTGTTAATAGGCCTTAAGCTTGGTTTGTCTACATAGAAATCAAAATGACAATGCCAACCCATGAAAGAAGTTAAAGAAGTCCCAAACAGTTCTGATTTCCTCCAATGTGACTATTTCTGATATATTATAAAATAACAAAAATCAAATTCAAAGAATGAACTTTTTGCCCCTATTTTGCTAATAATGGTTTAAGTAAAGGGATGGTCTTTCTAATCTTTCCCAAAGGCCCCTAGTTTAATTGTTAGTGACATTGCTAGGAAACTCCCATGAAATCTTGTAGGTCCATGGAAACCATGCATCAGACTCTAACATTTTGTGCAGATCACATGCTATCATGTGAAAATGTTCTGTTCCAAAGTCCCCTGGAACTTGGGATGCATTTTTCCTAGAGAACAATGTTCCAAGCAAAGGTCCATTGGATTCCCCAAGTGGCTGACTGCAACGAATGTGCTCAGAAGCTGCTGAGGCTTAAACTTTCAGCCCTTCGAGAGGCAGCTCGAGAGACTGGGAAACGAAGAGGCTCTACTATATCCTGTCCTGCTTTTGGGAGATCTTGGCAGCCCTTGTGTAGAGAGAGGGAGGAGGTTTGGTGGGTGTGGGGGTTTGGTGGGGAAGCTAAGGTCCTCCTTTGGAAACAACGGAGGAAGGCTCCATGTTAAAGGGGAAAGGAGGAGACAGGAAACCTCCATTAAATTGTTTATAAGTTGAATTGTTTCTAAAGCCGGAACTGACAACTGTGTTTTTACAAAGTAGAAAAGGATGCAACAAGTTCCACAGTCCTCATTCAGGCATATACAGTGCTTAAGAAGATCAGAGTGCAGTTTTCTTTGGGCAGGTAAGTTTAAAAAAAAAAAAATTGAGTGTTGACACAGTGTATAAATTCTTCCAATTTGAAAATTATTGAGGGTTATTACTGATGCCATTTGAACAGTACCATAACATTCATGGATTGTGGAATGGCTCAGATCGCTGCCTAAGCAAGCAATTATTTTGTTTTTGCTTCTGCAGTTAGACAAGGAAGAATGTTTTGCATTCTATCAGCTGGGCTTTTATTGTTTTTCATGTTAGGACAAATGTTCTTTGAGAGGTGGGGTCTTGTTTGAGGAAATGTCAAGTTGTCTAGTTTAGATTTATTGGTGATTGTGGCAGGTGCTAAATGTTTCAAGAAGTTGGTGTATGCACTTTTTTCTTCTCCCCTGGCAGACTTTCCTGGAATCAGGATATGTTCTCCGCAGGAAGAAAGCAAATGTGCTATACTTAAAATTCAGTGTATGACAGAAACACCTAAAGACTTATAGTAGATGAATTTACATCGTCTGAAAGGTATTTTATGCACCAATTTCCAAAGTTAGGGAAGGCCACTAAGCAAGGGACTACCACTTAAGACACAGGCATTGTCTATGGCGTCTGGGTGGGCCAAAGAGGCAAGATTTGTGGGAATATCATGAGAGTTGCTGGCTCTAATACATTTGCTCTCCAATGTCCAGAAATTCCTGCCTTTGGAATAGTCCTTGGAGAGACAGTTTTCTCCAACTTAGTCCCCCTTTCCCACTATGCATCCTCACGAGCAGGTCCAATTCAATGTGAACTTTTGGCAAGGAATCCTTTGGAGGTTTATGTTTTATCTTAAAAATTGGTAGGAACTTTGCGTCTTTCTCATCATATGTTCATGTTTTATGTAACATAAAATTATCACCCATCTGCAAATCTTTGAGTGGAAATGAAACTTCAGGAGGATGGACCATATCTCTTCCACGGTCCTGGCCACTCTGCAGAATACTCTCTTGTCTTTTCAGGAGCAGGGGGATCCTACTTTGAGAAGTAAGGACTTCAGTCATTGTTCAATTGGTAATCTGGTCATTGTCCTTTGAAAATGTACAAATCCTCTCCTGGAACAGTAATACATGAGTTTATTTTTACATTAGAAGGAGGTACTTTATCAAAGGAGTTCATTGTCATTTTGGAAAACGATATTTTGGGCTTGGAAAGATTGTAAACTAGAAAATCTTTGGTGATGAAAAAGGGTAAGATTTGAAAGTGTGGGATACTATGCCGAAAGGGTAACCTTACTTGGGGATGTGGGGAATCTGGGCTGAAGGGGGAGGATTTGGGTGGGGCTGGAGGAGAAGCAGATTCAGAGAAAAAGGAAGGAGGTGTAAGCCACAAGGTTTGCCCAAGGTTTTCTTAATGGCTTTCCATTCTCCCAAATCTATTTCCAATCTCAGTTTCAGTCCTCAGCTCCATCTCCATCTCCTCTGTCCAAGTGGCAGCATCTCCAGCTTGGAGAATCAAGTTCACATGTCCAAAATGCCAACTCACCTGTGAGAAACTTTGCCTACTCCTTATCATGCAGCATTTCTGTCTGCTCATTCTTGTGTGGCTTCATCCTTCACACTGCCAACTATCTGTCTCCCTGTTCCAGCAAGAAACTGGGGAGTCTTTGTCTTTTCCTTCTTCCCAACCTCCCATGCACATGTTTAGTTGATCATGAAATCTGACCAGGCTTAATGTAACCTTTGAAACATTCTTTTATTCTCTGTAGAAATTACAGTTCCTGCAGGAAACTGAGCATGCAAAGGGCTGAAAGGTGGAGAGTTTAATGAACAGTTGGCTTCCAGAGTAGGGAGGAGGAAGCTAAGTAACAGTGGCAAGGTTGGATGCAGTGGCTGACATCTGTAATTCCAGTACTTTGGGAGGCCAAGGCGGCCAGATCACCTGAGTTCAGGAGTTCAAGACCAGCCTGGCCAACATGGTGAAACCCTGTCTCTACTAAAAATATAAAAATTAGCTCGTGTGGTGGTGGGCACCTGTATTCCCAGCTACTCGGGAGGCTGAGGCAGGAGAATCACTTGAACCCAGGAGGCAGAGGTTGCAGTGAACCAAGATCAAGCTGCTGCACTCCAGCCTGGGTGACAGAGTGAGACTCCATCTCAAAACAAACAAACAAAAAAACATAACAGTTGCAAAAGACCCAAAGGCAGCTGCAGGATGCCTTTACCATCCTTAGGAGAATAAGGTGCAAGGGTCGGCAGTGGGAATTCCTAAAAGTACCTGATCTCTAAGCTTGGAGCTGTGGAAGAAGGGCCACCTGATGGGAGCTAAAACAGGGGATGCAGCCCCTTCCAGGACTCTGGAAAGGTAGGGGCAGTTAGGGACGAAAGCCAGGGAGACAATCACCACCATCATTTGCTCTCCCTCTTCTCATCCTCTGATCTCCTGCCAGTGCTTCCAATTGGCAAAGGCCAACCAAAAATCACAGGGCAAAGGAGTTCAGTGCTGTAGGCCACAGATGGGAGGCAGGCTCCTGGGGTACAAAGAGTGCAGAGAGGGAAGCAAAACGGATCTGGTAGGGTAAGCAACAAATGGAGAATGGCCAGCCCAGATTCAGCCCCTCCCTTCAACACCTGAAAATTCGACCTGAATTCAAGACCATTATTTCTTTCTTGGATGGCTGGAAAAAACAAACAAATAAACAAACTTCCCAGTGGTCCCAATTGACTTCAGTGTGTGCTCTAATTTCATTATATAAACACCATTTCTTAACAATTTCAATGCTGACAGACGGAGCTCATGTGTCAGCTAACAGGAGAAAAGCAGCATCTATGAGCACAATTCCCCACACTGGTGCTCCTCGCCTATGTTCCCCCATCAAGAGCATACACGGGGCTGCAAATTGAACAGATCTCACGTGATGATTAGGGAATTATCTGTATTTCGTTAAGAAAAATCACTTGTAAACTCTGTTTGAAAAAAGTATTGAAGGCCGGGCGTGGTGGCTCATGCCTGTAATCCCAGCACTTTGGGAGGCCGAGGTGGGCGGATCATGAGGTCAGGAGTTCGAGACCAGCCTGACCAACATGGTGAAACCCCATCTCTACTAAAAATACAAAAATTAGCCGGGCGTGGTGGTGTGTGCCTGTAATCCCACCTACTCAGGAGGATGAGGCAGGAGAATTGTCTGAACCTGGGAGCAGAGGTTGCTGTGAGCCGAGATTGCACTCCTGCACTCCTGCCTAAGTGACAGAATGAGATTCTGTCTCAAAAAAAGTATTGAAAACACATCCTTGGGGCTTAATAGATATTCGCAGGGAGTGCTGAACAGGTATTTATTAAAGGGGTAAATGTTACTTGTGACACTCACAATTAGTGGATCTTTACACGTGAATGTGTTGAATACAACCAGACCCCTATAATTAGACACACTGTTCTAAAATGAATTTCTAAGGTACGAATCTAATCTAATCACCTCTTGACTCACACAGGTTGGTAGCTTCCCATTGTCAAGAAGTTCTTAACATGGTGGAAAAGATCTCTTCATCATCTCAACCTCAAAGTCTCACCCTGGTCTTTCCAAGTCTCTTCTCTTACCTCTCCTGATACCATCTGTTCCCATCTACACTAAGATCCTTATCAGTCCTGGAAGAACACACTCAAAGCCGATGATTTTTGTGCCCTCTGTACATTCTCTCAACATTTGGCATTTTTATGAACACTGGCCCAAATTCCAGCTGCCAGCACCTGACACTCTGCCCAAGGGCTTCTCTGACCAGCACAACCCACTCTGCCCATGTGTGGGGAAGGCTTCAAGTGCCAGGGAGTTAATGGCCCCTGGAAGCATCCTTGACCAATGACTTCCAAGAATGGGTGTATAAATACCTCCACTCTTTCCTCCCTTGAGTGAGATAACTCTGAGGCACGTGTTTGACATTGCTTCATGGAGTTCCTCAGCAGGATTAAGTTCGAGTTGCCCTCAGTGGTAACTCAGGTTTGATTCATCCTTTGTTTGCTTCCTTCATTTCCTGTCTCACTTCCTCACTTCCCTATCAGTGTTTCCCTGAATCACCTTCCAAATAAACTACTCACGTTGGAATCTTTGCTTCAGGGTTGACTTTTGGAAGAACCTAACCTAAAACATTTCAGTATTCTCTTTCAGCATTTTCTTGCCTTTGCATAAGGCATTGTTTGTGTCTGGATTCCCCTTTGTTTCTTTTAAAACAAACATTTAAAATGACACAGGAAAACAAAGAATAAAATGTTTCTCCTTCATCACCTATTCCCCTCCCTTCTCCCTTCTCCCTCTCATCCTGGTCTACTTTCCTTCCCAGAACTAACCACTGTTTGGTATACATACTTGCAAATTTTTTCTTTATATTTACACATTTAAAAGTATGTAGATATACAAATGTGAATACATTTACCAATCTGTGTATACAATGATAAGTGAATTTGAACACATCCTTATACACAGTCCTTTTCACATGAATGAAATCACATTATACATGTTGCACTGTGACTTTTTTTTTTCGATAGTACAATACCCTTAGATTCCATAATACAGTATGATATACTATAATTATTGAAACATTTCTCCTACTGATAAACACTTAGGGTGCTGATACTTTTTCCACTGTTATAAAAAATTCTGCAATGACTATCTGAGTGCATATATCTTGCACACATGTGCCAGCCATCCTGTAGATGAGTGTGTCTGTTTGAGCTTTTTAGTTTTCAGCAATAGAAAACCCAACTTCGGCTGGGCGCGGTGATTGACGCCTGTAATCCCAGCACTTTTGGAGGCTGAGGTGGGCAGACCACCTGAGGTCAAGAGTTCCAGAGCAGACTGGCCAACATGGTGAAACTTCATCTCTACTGAAAATAGAAACCTGGTGGCAGGTGCCTGTAATCCCAGCTACTCGGGAGGCTGAGGCTGGAGAATCGCTTGAACCCAAGAGGAGGAGGTTGCAGTGAGCGATTGTGCCACTGCACTCCAGCAGGGTTGACAAGAGTGAAACTCTGTTTCAATAGAAAAAAAAAAAAGAAAAAGAAAAAGAAAAA